TGGATTGCCAGGCAGGACTCGAGTTGGAGCCTGTGCGCACGGGAACTCGCAGGGGGATGACGGACGAGGAGATTGCCCGTCAGGTTGCACTTATTACCCGGGATCCCATTGGGGCGTCCGCACCACCCTCGGCTGATGCTGTTTTCGATAGACGTGCTTGCATTTTTCGTCCCTAACCCAGGGACGGCGACTCAGACGAGGAGCCGATACCCGAGGCGGCAGATGACCCTGCGCTCCGCATTCCCCGCGAGATCGACGAGAAGCACGAGGATCCCGGCTCCGAGGACACGAGGACATAGATTGCACGACGGGCGGTGGACCGGGCGGAGAGCGAGATGCTGGGGGGAGACGAGGACTTTTGGGGCCCATTCGGTGAGGTCGCTTCCACGGGCGGCCCAGAGGCGCAGGCGACGACCCCCACTCCGACGAGGCGGGATTCGTCCATGCCGCCACCTCTTGCTCCGAGTCCTGCACCACGATCGCCCGTCTCACCACTTCAGCCGGACAGGGAGGAGTTGGGGTCCTCTTTGCCTCAGCGAGGCCTTCTCCACAGAGGCGGGGCAGTCCGCCAGCTTAGGTTACGATCACCTTCCCCGGGGATAGGGCAGGAGGAGGGGGGACCTTTGGCAGCAGCAGTGGAGAGTTCGATGGCACCAGCGGCTGTGTCGGACGCGATGATCGCAGCCGCGGTGGAGGAGATAGCAGCAGCAGCAGCAGCATCAGAGCTAGAGGAGATGGCAGCATCAGTTCTGGCGGAGGATCCACCAGCGGCAGGAGGAGGTGCAGCAGTGGAGGGGCAGGAGGCAGCAGCAGGAGGAGCAGGTGGAGGAGCAGCAGCAGTGGAGGTTGAGGTGGCAACAACACTGGAGGAGGAGGACGCACCGTCGGGCCGTCGGCAGCTGCAGTGGAGGAGGAGATAGCCGCACAGGCCGAGGTGCAGCGTGGGGGCGATGAAGAGCGCCTCATGCAGCAGTTCCTCACGGAGGAGCTCGGTCCGGCCATAGCGGGTATGACCCCGGGTGTGGAGAGGGGGTTTGGGATTTCAGATTCGGAGTTGGGGACCCACTTAGACTTGGATTTGTCGGTGGGCCTTCCACCCAGTTGCGGCGGGGCGACATCGACGGATCGGGCTCCATCGAGGGACGAGGCGCCAGGCAGGACTTGACGCAGACCACCAGAGAGAGGACGACGACTCAGTCTCCAGATGCAGCACACGACATCATGGAGTGGGAGAGGGCTAGACTTTTGGCATCGACTGGTCCTCGTGCTCAGGCGTTCGCACGGGCCGTAGAGGACGCCAGGCGTCTAGAGATAGGGGGGGATTGTGTGCAGGGTGGGGTGGTGGCGGGGGAGGACGTTGTGGAGGGAGTGGCAGCAGAGTCGGTACCCGAGGCTATGCCGGATGGAGCAGAGACAGCGGACGTTGCTGTGGAGGGACGGACTCTGGCGGTAGATGAGGCAGTGCAGGCAGGACAGCGACGAGTCGAGGGGGCTATAAACTCACGATGCGAGGGGCAGGAGACAGCGACGGGTCCTGTCGTTCCGTTCTCGGGCCTGCACTTGGCTCAGGCCCGACAGCCGCAGGCGGTTCAGATGGCAGTGCATGGTGTGCCACCGCCCGTTATCACAGATTTGGGGTCCGAGCTGGGGGTTGTGCCCCCACGTCTTCCTAGCCACTTTGCTCCGCAGGAGGTCCGTCGTCCTTTGGATGCAGAGGAGTTGGCGAGAGAGGCTGTGCGCGATGTTACTCGCTTGGACCGGCGGATCTTCGACCGGAAGCTCGAGCACCCACCGTGGCAGTCGATCCCTTCGGTTCCATGGGGTCCTGCGTCGCCCGTGTGGTCTGGGTCTACCTCCACTGGAGGACATACCGCGGGACATGGTCCAGGGGTCTCGGGTGGTGTGACGGAGACAGCGCCACGCACAGGAGACATGCCACCCCCTCCTTCCAAAGCACCTGCAGGTGATCCATCATCGTCACCCACAAGCAGAGGCTCTCGATCCCCACACACGCCTGGGAGATCTAGGATTCGTGACACGACAGCAGTTCAGCAGGACGTGTGTGACATGACGATATTCGGGAGGACAAATATACATTTGGATTCCACCCGTCGTGTCACGGAGCACACTGCATGCCTTCAGCCGGGCTTGGGAGGAGGAGGCACTAGGACGACCACGGCGAGGGAGGTACCGACATCGGGTTGTGAGCCTCAGCGAAGTCGTGGCAGAGGAGTGTCGACCGATACCTTGGAGTACGCTCTGAGAGCAGCGACGCGTGCCGTGCAGGAGCAGACTCCACGCAAGCGTGGAGTACCTCCTCGTCCACGCCCCGTGCCTGCAGAGGGAGGCGCAACACTTGGAGAGAGTTCGGGGGCGGAGGGGTTGGGGATGCCTCGTGGTTCCTGCCGTGAGAAGACCATTGCAGAGGCTAGTGCGAGGGTTGTTGTGTTGAGGAAGGGAGGAGGCCCAATCACCATCGAGTAGGATGATCCGGATACAGATGCGGCTGTGCGGGATGCGGACGAGGACTACGAGGGCGAGGAGGAGGGAGAGGAGGATAGCAGGAGCGGTTCCGATGGTGATGACGACGACGACTACGATGAGCCCCCACCTTCCCCAGGAACCCCATCGACGCGTGATCTAGACGCTCCGCTGCACGGATTTCTTCATCCTCACGAGGGAGGAAGAGGTCGACATCCGGCACTCGAGGGGGCACGAGGAGACACAGCGGGAAGGGGAAGAAGGGTCATTGACCGATGAGGCCAACAGTCCGCTTCTCCCCTACTCGCACTGTACGTCGTCATGTTGTGCGGCTGTAGTTTTCTTGGTAGTCTGAGTCATCTCGTCTTGTCTCAGTATTGTCAGACACTCAGTGGTTGTGTGCGTGCTTTACTTGTTGGTGTGTATGATTTTGGTAGCAGTAGGGTGTTCGTAGAGTATGATTTTGGTGCCAGTAGGCGGAGTAGGGTGTTCGTAGAGTGCCGTCGGTTGCACACTACTGAGTTCAGACTGTACATTATTTTTTTTTTCTTGTATCATTTAGGCAGCTACGACAGGACTTGTAGACTATTGTTTCTTGTATTTTTTTCGACATGTGGTGCCAGTGCATTAGCAGTAGCCTGTAGGATACATTGTATCATGTTGCATTTGCATGTGTGATATTAGTGTCAGCCTGTCAGGTACTTCGCATCGTTCACGACTTTTCATGTACATTACATTTTCTGTTATGAGTGATGCACTTTGCCTGCCCATTTTATTGTCGGTGTGTGATTTTATATCTTTAACTGTTGTTCTCATTTTCAATTTCATTTCTTGCATTTTTTTCTTTTAATTTATTTATGGCTTCGAGAGTTCGGTACTTGTTTTTTTTTCTATCTTATTTGTTTATTCTATTTGCATTGAATGGAACACTAACTGATGTTTCGGGGGGTGCACAGGGTGGGG